GACCATGACGGCCACGACTCGACTGTCAAGAATCAGCACACTGCCAAGAAGCGCGAGCAGCACCAAACAAGCATGGAAATGCAACTTATGCACTCACCCTGAGATTGCAGCAGCTTCAGCGTGCGGAAGTGCTTGGTGAGGGCTTGACGAGGATTCTGCACAGCCAGAGACCAAGCGACTCTGGTGGTTTCAGGACATACGGCTTGGGGTTTAGACGGTTTAGAGGGTCGAAGTGGATTTCTTCCTTCGTCCCCAACGTAGTGAGCGGTAGCAGCTAGCAGCTAGCAGCCAGACAGGTTGTTGACATCTTGAACACCACACCGAATCACACCGAACCTTCACGGCACATTCTGCTATTGCATTATGCGGGCATCCCGCCCTTTACATACCATGGAAACGACGCCGTCCTAGCAGCCAAAGGCATGGATGGCAATTCCTTACATAGGTGATTGAAAACTCAGGTCCTGTTCATGCAAGCACTTTGTGTGGGTCGAGTTCTCCAGGACAAGGCTACACGCATGCATTTTGCATCGCTTAGCCGATTAACAACAAGCACTGCGAATTTTCACCGACTGCTCCCCTACTGCAGTGCTTTTCCGCGCCATCATATACGGAAACGTCCTGGCCACACTAGTGGGGATCTGCCCTAGACTTTTGCACCTAGCGATTGCTGGGACAGTGGACGCCAGGAATAGAATATGCCAGAGACCACGCTGTAAGCCGGGGCCACGCTTTGGACAACAAGGAATGAAATGCCTGCGCAGAGCCGGAAACACAAGACGTGCAAATGCCCGGAATCTTCGTGCACTAATCTCAGAGTTCAAGGCCAAGATTCCCAACATAATGTGTGTGAGACCAATATGCTTGGAAACCCATACGGTAGCGCCCAAAAAGCCTGCGTTACCGAACCACAGCCCCTAATCGAAGGTCTGCAGGTAAGCTCCCTGAATCAACAGAATGGCTGTTAGTCTGAGAGTCTGGGGAAGGTAACCGTGACAACATAATGGCGAAATGCGCCATACCATGACAACGAACGAAACCCAGCGTTTGTCGTTCTGATAGACCTTGCTTTTCCCCAAATTGGAAATAAAAATCAACGGATACCGAGCCCGCCGAGGTCGCTGCAGGTGCGGCAAAGCTAAAAGGGTCGTTCCTGAAGGGGACTCTGGCTGTGGGCTTCGTGGTTAGGGCCTCTCGGTGTCTTGTGGCTTCAGAACTCAGAAACTCCCTCATCTCTGTAGCCCGACAATGCCGGCGTGTCTTTTTTTGCAAGCAACAAAGAGCAGTTCGCTGATCTAGGGACATATTGAATATGCAGCATCCAAACACGTGCGCCGGAAAATGTATGCCTGAAGTCTTCGAGACATGCAGACGTTGTGGCTGAGAAGCAGCAACAGACGACAACAAACAGCAGGGTTGCTTGTCTTAGGGTCGGCGATGGGCTGCTCTCTACAAAAAAGACATTTTCCTGACTCCAAAGCACGTCGTGGACTGAAGGTAATCGGCAATCCCAGCTTGCTGGACACCCATGCTGCATGGAATGTTGATGCTTGCTCATGGTGTGGATCTTGCACGATGGCTTTCATGCGTTCTAGAGGAGAAAAGCTTTTCCGATGCCATGATGTCATAGTTCGACTCCGACAACAGCATGCCTTTCCCAAAAGCATGCAGTTCCGGTCTTGAGATCGTGGCCCAAAGCCATGGCTGCCCGGGAAGTAGTTCGAGCGTTCGAAGAACTGCCTGCGATGTGGCCAGGGCCCTGGGAGCTGGGAATTTCAGTCCGCGGCATCCATCACGCGGCATGTGCACAGGCACTTTGCAGAATCCGCAGTTGCAAGCGAGCACCACGCCTAGCAGCCCCTAAATCCGAAATCTCAAGCCCAACTTGATCGGGATGTCCGAAGCATTCCGAGACACTCACGGACAGGCGCCTGGGGCCCCGAGGCGCATCCTGCAAGTCAGTGGACTACATTTGGAAGCCTTTGCACTCTCCTGTACTCCTAACCCCGTAACCTTGGATCTTTTTCCTGTTTTCGTTCCAACGCTGCAACATGAACTTCCATGTCTTGCTGGTTTTGGAGCATAGACATGCTCAAGCAGGATTAAAGTGGCGGGTCTCGGCATTCGAGTACAAGGACATGACACGGCCTCGAAGCAGGCATCATACACAGGGCATGAGAGAGCGACAACGTTCCTAAAGCATGTCAAGGAGGGTCATGGGGAGGAAAGCAGAGATGACAAGCTACTAAAGAGTTCTCAGATCGGTCGATCGACTCCAAAATACGAAGCAAAGGAAGGCCGGGATCAGGTCGTGAAGCTAACAAGGACCAAACTAGTCAAGAACAAAGAAGTGGCGTCCCGCACCACCGCCTTGCCCCGATTGCTCCTTACGAAGCTTGGTTTCGCTATAAAGCTATATTCAGGAATATCTTCAGAAAGTGTCTGCGCACGGATCAATTTAGTAGCAGTGCCTTGCGCCACTTTAATCACATTAGCTTTTATAGGAACACAGCTGTCTCAGGGGACGCTCGGATGCGATGGATCACATGATTCTCTCATGAACATGACATCAGTAGACTAGACGCTCGATCTTTCAAGCGCTCGCAAGACACAACAGTGGTACGAGAATGCTGGCTTGAAATTCAGCTAGTCCTCGCGCAGATGGCCGAGTTTGCAAGCACCCGTGCAAAACGCAACTCCACGGCATCCTAACTCATCACGCTCGCCCATGTTGCAAGTAAAAGCTTGAATTTGCCGATGCATATCACAACAGAGAAAACAACATCACAGCAGGGGCAGGACGAATCAGCAAGAACACCGTAGGTAGAAGCTGCTAGAAAGCACGGATCTCTCCGGCCTAGACTTCACATGCGCAATATGCAACCAGCCCGAAGCTACCGCACGTACCACAGCCAAAGCCATGGTCCCAGAGCCCCGAAATCCGAAGCCCACTTGGGCCCTCGAGCCTTCTTCGGAGGTGGAGGCGGCATCTGCGGGCCCCAGGCCTGCCGCCCGGAAGTTGCTGTTAATCAGTCAGTCCCTAAGTTTATGGTCCCTTCTGGGGTCCTTTCCATAAGGATGCCATACTCTGTTCTTGAGAGTTTGTTTGAAGAGGCCTTCCAAGTTTTCGAGTGCACCGCAGGGCCTTGACTTCGCTACCGTAGGCTCCTTGCCTTCATGCTGGAGTAGTTGTTTTGAGCGGTTGAACTCGTTTGAAGCGAGCACGGTGGTTGGCGAAACCACCGTGTGAGACCATTGAAGATTTTCATCCGCATCTGCCTGAATGGCTCAAGGACACGGCAAAGAGTTGTGCGGAGAAGAGAGCACGAAATAGCGCGAACGCACATTGGCTTTTTTTGAGGATTGTGTTGGTTGATCTTGAGTTTGCCTCTGCGGTTTGGTCAAACCGCGACGCTCAGGCCGCTTAGGTTTGCTGCGTTAATTTGCCGAGCACCCGGCATTGAGAAGTCACCGCCCCGAAATGCATCCTCACGTAATTATCAGCATCCATTCAGCGAAAGATGAAACCCAACAAGGCGCATTTCGGTGCCTTGATGTCGCAAGAGCATGAGAAGCAGAACAACCAGATACGAATTGAGCGACATTCTTTGCAGGCTTCGTGCCATTTCGGACTTGTCCGAAAAACCTAAAACCTGAACCCAATGTTTTGCTGCACCTGGCCCTAATTGAGTACTGAGACCAAAGCCCAAGGAACTCAATGCTCCAGCACCTGTACTCTGAACAGACTCTTCGCAAGGCCCGTGCGGAGGCGAGCAGCCGCTGCAAAAGCTCCTCGCGCTCCTGAGCGCAGGATCATGAATCTTCATGTTTGACTCCCATTGCCACCAACATGACGATGGCGATCCGTATAATCGTCTTTTGTCTTGTTGATAAAGAACAACACCACCACTCAAAGGTTCAGATCCACACGAGCGTGTCGGGTCGTCATCATGACAAGCATGACCTGTGGTTGGAGTATTAACAGCACTACAGCCATCCGTTTGAGCACCTACAGAACACCAGCCCATTTTCCTCCTCCATCTGGTCCTCCTCCACATCCCCATCATCATCATCATCATCATAATCATAAACACCACACGTGTCAGCATCACTATCACTACCGCTGTCATCATCACCATCAGAACCATCATCATGGTCATGCCCCTCGTCTTAGTTGCCACAGTTCTCCTTTCGCTCCAAGCCCACCAGTTTTCCCAACTAAGCCCAAGATGTCAGCAACTGTTTGGACATGACTCTTCTGTCCACACATCATTCCCTCCGGACACCCAGACCGGTGACTCGTGTGTTATCGCGCAGGAAACCAGAACTCTTAAGGCCCTTTACCCCTTGGCCTCAGAGCTGGTGGACACCCGCAGCTCCTCTCAAGCAAAGCTTTGAGAATCTGCTGAGAGAAGCATTACAGCCTAGAGGTTTAAGGTCTCGGGGTCAGGCTTTGTTTGAGATGCCTGCTACGAGCCGGCTTCGCGACAGTATCGGTTTGTGTTGCAAGTCAGTTGCAAGATGGCAATGGGGTCAGGCAAAAACACGAATATCTCGCAAATGCAAGCTGCATTTGTTCACTTCCTCTCCAACGAACTTCCGGTTTGGCTCACTGCAGCTTTATCCAAAGCACATTTTGACACCCACAAAACATGCAGGACTTGGCACCAAATAGTCCTGGCAATCCTTGCGCAGCTCATGGACAGGTAAAACCTAGGATCAAGAGTCCAACATCGAAACACCATGATACACTGCTTGCTTACATGTGGTGCTCGAGGTACTGCTGCTCGAAATGACTGCCACATATTGCCGGTAGTCACCGCAGAAGTGTTTCACATCCTTACGAGTACTGCTAGTGGCTCCATTGCTGTCGCCGATGTCGAGACGGCCGGTGCGAAGAAATCGATCTTACCGAAACCGCAGCCATGCTAAAACAGACATTGTCTACCATGTGTCATGTGCCCAGAATCCACTGGCTCGATGCAGACTTGACATGGATATCAGCTGAACTCCAGAGACCGACCCTCTTCACATCCCAAGCTTCGCGCCCTCCATGCTGCCACGCGCTGGAGGCGTTGCAGAAGCTCACGCCGCTTGGTCGGGGTCTCTGCCTGCACTCTCTGTTTCCGACTGGCTTTATTAGGGATACTTCCGTAGCTCCCCGAAACAATCGACGGCACTTTTCTCGCAGAATTCCAAGAGTGTGGGGTGTAACGGCATGACTCCGAATCGGAAGCCTGCGTGGGGATCTCGAGGCGCTTGTACTCCTCCAAGAGAGTCCGGTCATCAGCTGCTTGGAGCCGTACGAACTCCTTCGCCTGCCGACATAACATAACATAGCTGCTGGGAGCTGTACCGTCTATGATTTTGTGCAAAAGGTCAGTATATATGCAGTAGTTGCAGGTTGAAGCTATCGTTGGCCACGGCCCTCGTGACCTCTATTCTGGCAGGCCCTCCTTGTCTGACAGAGGAACCGAAGGGAACATGAGTCTGTGGCTCTACGCAGACCCAAGCGGGGCACATGATAACAGCATGGCAAAATCTCGCCGGCCACACCAAATCAGCTGCACATTGGATAGTAGGCAGCCTCTCCGTGTTCGCAACTGAGAATGCCAAGAAAACTGCCAAGAACGGTGGCCACCCTGAGGCTGCTCGGTATAGGCTTCACGATTCAGGCTTCAGCGCACATCTGCCAAGATTCGCCATGTTCCCCTCCGCCATTCAAACCAGGAAGTCGAATGACACCACATAAACCAACAGAAGGCTACTCGAATGGAAATGTTCCCGCATCCAAGGTATGAAGAGTGTTTCACTGCTCCGGGTCAGAATCGCAAAGCGCTGAAACTGCTGAAGCCCCAACTTGTTGCCACAAAAACCGTAGCTTCGCTCCCGGTTTTCTGAACGATGCCTCAACAAACATCTTGAAGGCTCGAAGGCCTCTTCAGCGGGAGGCCCTGCGTTTGCCAAAGATCTGCACAGTTGGCCTTGGCCGACAAAATCAGCCCAGCCCAGTCCAATTTCGACTCTCTGGGCTGTAGCCTAAGGCCTTCAGTGTACGGTTTGAGAGCTACTATCAAGCTGCGCGAACCGAGCCCCGTTGCCAGGATCAACCTCTCCAGCAGCTCTTTCGGCTGCTCCTCCTCGCTGCCTGAGTGACTTCACAGTCTTCATGAAGACTCATACTTGGGCTCTACTACTGCAGCCAGGTTCGAAACTCAAGGCACCAGGAAACGAGTTCTCCGTGTGGAAAGCTGGGGAGAATCGCAGAAAGTCTAGAAGCCCGACTCAACGCTCCATAAACAGGGCCCTTCCGATCTGAGGTGGCAGCCGACAAGACCACCAGCGGAGACTCCCTGGTCCTCACCAACATGCAAATCAAGCAGCAGACGGCTTGGGAAAGGGCATCACCCGGTGGTTGACAAAACTCAGACTCATCTGACCCCAACAAAGACATCATACGCAGTACCAACAGATCACAGCTGCACCTGCGGATTGCCATGCTTGATATCACGAACCACACTGTATCTGTAACACGGCAAAACAGGCTTTACGGATTGCTAGCTCACATCATGCCAAGTACCTCGGAAGGTCATTTAATTAGCATCAATCCCTTCTGGTCCCCACATATAAGACTATACTATATTAAGGCCCTGAGGTAAGCCCAAACATTTCAACAGCAAGTCCCCCTCCTGACACTCTTTGCGCAGCTCGTGCGCAGGAAGCTCACGCCACAGCGCCTCAGGAAAGAGCAGACTATGAACATGCGCAAAAATATATGATGCAACAATTATGCAAAATAAACCATATTCGACAATATCCATAGAATGTCAAGTAACTCAAGTATGTAGTCGTTATCATATGTCTCATGTAACCTGCATATGCCGAAGCCGAACTGCTGGATGTGCGCACCAGTCCAGTGAGTTTCTGAAACTGCGCGAGCGACGTGCCTTGGATTTCGTGGAGTACGTGAATAGTTTGGCTACCACAGTAAGTTTATACGAACTGTAGTGAGCACAGTACGATGTACGATATAATGAAATATAGGTAAACGTTTTGCTGGAAAACCCAAGTTGAAGAAAGCTTCGGGGCGGGGATGCGGATCAGATGTACCGTTCTTGGGTTTGCGACCCACTGATTTGCTTCAACATGCGGCTCTTGAGCTCTGGGGTTCGTCCATGCACGTAAACTTTCGATCACGACTTGACGAACAAAGCCTTGACATCGCGGTTTGCTGAGCCAAACGCCACCTGTCGAAGCTGTGAGATCATCTCCTGCCGAATTTGTCGGATGGCCGTTTGAAGGCTCAACATCCGGCATCTCAGTCGGTGCATTTCATCTCGGATGTGCGCATGACTAATGATCAGCTAAGCTCGAAGGGCACCAACGCACCACCACCTGCTACACTTCCGAGAGTTGAGGAACAACCACGATCATCCGAGCAAAACCCCAGAAACCCTTGCGTCAAATTCCGTGCCTCAAATGCCGGAGTTTTGCTCATGGCCGATCGCGGCAGTCCTCGCGGTACCCTACAATGCTTGACCCACAACCGATTGATGTGATTCCGCATGCATATGTGGCAGCGGTGCTTCTGCTTGGACCCCTCAAGCATGAGTGAGTCGACGCATCCGCAAAACACGAAAACCTAATCCCAAACCTTTCAAGAACCCTGGTAAAACCCTAAAAGAACCCCAACCCCCGACGCTACGGATGCCAAAGGATTACTTCAAGCGAGTCCTAGGCTGAAGTAGTCTCTTTGGATGACATTGGGATCGCTGCTCTCGGCCTGCCAGAAGATAACCGCGGATGCATGATCATTCTTATTTACTATAGAAGTACTGCTGCCGTCATAATTGTTACTTATCAGTATTACGATGACCATTGTAGCCTGATGATTGCTGTTGTTGTTGCTGTTGCTGCTGCTGCTGGAGGTATGCGCAACATAACCATTCCTGCCCGTTGCTTGTGTTATGACAACTGCTCCAGCTCGAGGATGTTTGCAATTGATGTCCCGACGATTTTGGCCATCTGTCGGCTGACGCGTTGTTTGTTTGTTGACCGTGCTGCTGCAAACGCCCAGAGCAGGTTCGACTAGAGTTTGAATCCATGGCAGGTTTGCCGCAAGAATTCCAGCTGATGATCAGGCTCATAACTGTGCATGGTGCCGTGCGCCAGTGGAAGCTGATTCCTAGGAGTTTTCAAGAAAGACAAAGGATCTAACACTCCTACACCTTCAACATCGATGTGCTTCTTACTTCCGACTGTCGGAATTTCTTTTCATCCCAGCACCCAAAAGACAAACATGTCATGTTGCTTCGAGAACCTTGCCTCTAGCCGCTGCAAGGCTGCTGCAAGCCTTCGGCTGCTTGGGTTTGTTTCGGTTCTCAAACCCGGTGCCGTTGAGTGCGTGCGGTCCCGGACGACTGCGTTTAAGCATAAATCTCAGCGAGCACTTGAGCAGCGCCTTTTCCCGCTCGGCCGCCACTAGCCCGGAGATAGTCAGAGGTGAAACTCGTGGACTGAAAGCCTACGCTCCCTAAACTTAGATCATAGCCCCCTAACGCCTACTCCCCACAAGCCCTCTTCCCCCAATCCCTAAACGCTCCTATACGAAACCTCCCCTCATCGTTCTGCAGCCTCAGCCCTACGGTCGGCCTCGGACCCGAAGAGCAGCAGCTTCCTTCATGTCAAGGAACGGATTTTAAGTTTTTCGGCTTCCTACTTCGCAAGGGCAAGTCCGTATGCAATAGAGTTGGGTTTCGGCGCTGGGGTTGAGGCATGGATGTAGGTTTACCAGCGCAGGGCTTGTGGACTTTAGATGAGCTTGGGGTTGAAGCTCGAAGGCCTAGGCCCAAGTTGGATAGCAATATTTACGAATAACATCCCTCTACAGTTCCCCTATAACTAATTACTGTTCCATTTTTTTTTGAAGCTCTCGATGCTGCTCTTTAAAACGGGTTTCGATATCTTTCGGGGGACCCTCGACAGCCCCGGGTTTCCGTCGCGCCGGAGTGCTTGGGCTAGGGCTTGGGGCTTCGAAGCTGGGTCAGTCGTCTCAGTTCGATCAAGGGATAAACTGACAGGGGCAAAAACAAGCGTCCTCAAATCTATAGATACGCCCCCCCCCCCCCCCCCAGCAGCTTCCCTGATTGATCAGAGACCATGTGCGACGACTACATTCCAAACGGGCTTGATCGAAAAGTCTAGGGTTGTCGCAACGGAAGCTCTGCCATCGTCACCAAGGGGCTCCACGAACTCCTTAACTTGGCAACGGAAAGCTTCAGGTTGATAGGATTCAGAGTTCATGCTAGCTGGAGCTGACGCCTTATGAAGTCCAGTGACATGACCCGGTTAGCCGACACCCGAATGACAGTTTTTAGTCTACATCTCCAATAAGACGATCAAGGTCATAACAACACCGAAGTCGCTAAATCATGATTGTGGGAGTTACATGGAACAATGTTGAAGGAGAGCCTTGGTACACACAGCGACTTTGATCATCGAGGCGCGTCGGCTGACACCACTTTGCGCAGAGGGCCCGCGGTTGCCGCCATAGTTTCTGCAACCACCTGAAGGAGAAAGATCCGGGCCAGCGAAGGATCTAGGGTTGACAGTAGCGAGATAACAGAACTTACTACCTCAACTGAACGCTGATTTAGACCGGGAGCAACAGGGCCGTGAACTGGGCTCTCGCGGACCTACGGGGTTTGGACCGAAGGTTCATTTGCTTGTGCGCATTTGGCTTGAGACTAGGATGGCGACTTGCCCCAAATCCAAAAGGTGCTTGCTGTACTGATGCAAGTAATCCCTGCTACAGGGCTTACGATATACTGCTGCTCTTTTCTTGCTGTTTCTTTCGACGTGCAAAACTGGTAACGCCGAAAGAAGCCATCATCACCGTCTTAATCGCGACCAGCATGCGACACAAAACCAATCGTCCTGCAGTCCTTCGCGCAAGTTTCAATCCGCAATGCCGCTGCGCGGAATCAAGTTCTGCCCGTGTGATCTAGAAGCTGTGCACAAGCAGAGAGAGAGAGAGAGAGANNATGTGCATATCTACATATATATATACACACATACATATCGAAATATCAGACATACTCATATACAAGAACTAACCCGGAGAGGCAGACAACCCCGCTCCAAGAAAACCAGGCCATGACTCTGAATCGAGCCCAAGAATGTGTACTGGACCATGGGTTCAAGATCTTAGGCGCCCACTGTTTGTTGCTCTGCCTCTGATCCGCGGGGACAAAGAAGTCGCAGTAGCGTGGAAAGTGCCTGCTGGAGATTTGGAAGGAACTAGATGAAACTTGCTTCAGGCCCTTGGGTTTTGGGCTTGGTTTCGGTTTCGAGAATGATGCGGGCAGATCCGCGACCCTCTCTCATCCCAATGCACGATACGCTCCTAAATTCCTGGGTCCCGACCCCACGTGAAGTCAGGACTTTATTCCTGCATCCACAACAGGACACCCAGGACACTCCGAGCCCCGAGTTTACGTTCAAACCCCAGCCACAACCCCAAGATCCGAACCCCAATGTGCCAACTCACAATCACCTAACCCCTGGTGTCAACAGCCTCAGCCGAAAGTCCGGATTCCTCCGACGCCCATGCGGCGAAGGAGCGCTTGAGTTCCTGCGTGGCACCCACCAACCAGTTTACGATGTAGCAGGGGATTTAGGGTTTAGGATTACAAAAGGGTGTATGTTAGTGTATATGAAACTTGGAAGAGGCAGCAAGGTGTTTTTGCGCATAGCTGAAACGCCACAGAGAAGTTTGGGATGCAGAAGTTGGGCTGAGAACGGCTTGCAGCTTCTGAAGGCAATGCACCTTGCCCAGGCTCTCCACACCTTCAATGCTCACCTCCGCAGTGCATGGAACATGCTGGTGAGACTCTGAGTTACTTCCGCAGCCGTCGCAACCCAGATTCACATGTTGGGGCGCGGCCTGAACCCTAAACCCTGTTAGATCGTGCGTCATTTCATCCTCGCTGCACGCTGCAGCACTGGGCCGGAAAGTCCCAAGCCCCGACACTGGCGGAGCCGGGGTGCTACCACCAGCAGCATGAGCAGCGGAGCCTGCAATGGCATTTGGGCCTTACAGTAGAACATTGAAAATGTAGTAGTTAGTAGTAGCTAGTAGCAGCTGGTAGAAGTAGTAGAAGTAGAAGTAGAAGTAGAAGTAGAAGTAGAAGTAGAAGTAGAAGTAGAAGTAGAAGTAGCAGTAGAAGTAGAAGTAGAAGTAGAAGTAGAAGCAGAAGCAGAAGTAGTAGTAGTAGTAGTAGTAGTAGCTGCTCGTAGCTCGTAGCTCGTAGCTAGTAGTAGCGCGTAGTTGTTCAGTAGTGGTCGTCGTCGCCGTCGCCGTGCTTCCAGGATTCTAGGCCTTTGCGTTGTTCAGTGAATACTTGCGGCTCTGAAGGCCCGCGCCGGCCCACCATACTGTTATGCGGAATCCGCAATCCCACACATCCAATGGTGGGTGTTGTAGGCACGCGATATGATATGATCAAGTATATTTATAATATACGTGATATCTTATGAAATACCATATGCTAGGGTCTGGGGGTATTACAGACAGCGGGCTTGAGGCCGCGATGCTTTATCTCCAGGACACCTCGACCTAGAACCTTGCAATACCTAGTCTAGGGGCCGTCACAACTAGACTAGGGTTGTGGGGTATATTATGCTATAATCACAATAAGGACCCCCGGCAAATAAAAAGAAACAGTATAGGTAATTATTCAGACCCCTTTGTTACTTTTTGCGTTTAGGGCTCCGAGGCTCCCTTTGAGGGCTTTCAGTGTTTCGGGTTCAGGGTCTTCTGGTAGAAGGCCCGAGATTCAAGGCCTCCTCGGCAGAGGTCCTTCCGCGGAGGGGCATCTCGAGCTCTTGGCCTCCCGGTGTGTAGGGTTCGCTTAAGTCTCAAGCTCTGTGACGAATTCAGGATTTGACGGCTTACGTTAAGGCTGCTGGGCAGGCTTTGTGCATCAGATCACGAGCACAAGCCTGGCCTTCTGTGAGCCGCCGACTCAGCATTTGCATGTTGGAGGTCTTGTCGCCCCAGGCCTCTTGTGAATCGGCTGAACTTTGTGATATCAAAGCTGGATAATTAAGCGTTGAGTCCAGGCTCTAATCCCTTCCCACTAATATTAAAT